TGGGTTTGGACGAAGACATGCTGCAACAGTTCTTCAAGGACAGCAACCTTCACAACCTGTTAACGTCCCCAGAAGATGCAAAATTCGCAATCGATTTCATCGCCCAGAATGTCGACGTCCATGAGGTGAGTCCTCCTCCATGCCCCCGTCAGTCCTTTTTGTTTGTCTTCACATTTTCTGATGCTCAAAAATGGCCTGTGTACATTTTTTACAGTTTCGCACTGTTTTCTTTTCAATTCTTGCCACAGAGGCCTAGGGGGAGGTCTTTTTTAGCCCTGCGACAGCGCTGACATCGTGGATTGCCACTTGGTGCGCCTAGTCACTCTCTTTTCTCGAGAAAGAAGCAAACACTGGCATTCACCGCTTCGCGCTCTCAGGACCGTGTTGCCAGCACACAACCTGACCTTGAAGAGCTCAGTTAGGCATGGGTTTGTGCACACGTGAGCACCCACACGCACCCGTGTCTCAGGCGTGTACTTTGTGTGGAGTACCGTCGTTTGACCCTCTGCTTTAATCGTCAGCATAGTGCAGGCACGTGGAATTGCGTAGAGGCTCTTGCCAGATTCCTGGTGAAATAGCACAGCGTAATGCCGATGATATTGCCTTAGTTGCTTCAAGTTTTGGTGATCTGTAGTCTATGGTGCCACGGGTGAACGAGGTCGGTAAATCGGTCGGTTTATCCATAAACGTTGAGAAGACCGAAGTGTTTTCAAACTGCATTCCTGACCAGGAGAAGGCACCCCTCGGGATTGATGGCTGTCAACTTGAAGGAGTAGGCAGTTTTTAATACCTCGGGGCGAGGCTGCTGCCGAATGGGCAGAGAAAGGACGACATTGTCTCCCGAATCGATGCTGCCCGATGGGTTTTCTCGAGTTTTAGAAAATGCCTATGGATCAGACGCGACCTCCCCATCGCTACTAAGATTCGCGTGTACCTTGCATTCGTCCTGTCTGTCCTTCTCTGTGGCTGTGAACGATGGGCCGTGCGCGTGGAGGACGAACGAAATCCAGAGGTATTTAACCGCCACTGCTCGAGGATCATCCTTCGAGTGAAGTACACTGAGTTCGTCTCAAATCAGACAGTCTGCTCTCGCTGCGACAACATTTCAAGGATAACTAAGGCCATCCAAGAAAGCCGACTCGGATGGTTCGGGCATGTTCGTCGTCCGCTTTAGAGCTCAGTGTTACTGTTTTTTTTTGATCCGGCACCGTTACCCCATTGGAGGCGTCGAAGAGGGGGTCAACTCAAAACCTGGCTCGACACAGTTCGTCAAGACATGGAGGTGGTTCTTGGACCTTCGGTATTCGGTCTCTGTTGTTGCCGAAGGGAATGGATTGAGCTGTCCAGATCTGCTGCCGCGGATCGTCACGCGTAAAGAGGTACAGTTCTGGACATCATCGAGGCCGGCTAGATCAGGCATGATCGCAGCCGTATCAAGTACAATTAAGTACGCCTGTCAACTGGGATATTTCGGCCAGAATCGTATAACCTCCGAGTTTGTGTCATGTGACTAGAACCCGTGCTGCTCTTCGAAGGTTAACAACTGACGTTTTTTTCGTCCTACCTGAAAACAAACTTTTTGGGAGCTCAAGCAAACGTGTGTCGAACCCGCCCGCGCCTACTAAGCATTACGTTGTTAATCTGAAGGACACGACTCAGCCTCATGTTTGGCGGCTGCCATGAGACCACAGTCCAATACATTGTGCTCCCTTGCGTTCTGTCCCTGCATATTACTAACAGTGCGTGCGTTCTTTAAAATGGTTTGTCGTTAAGATACTTCACTGCCTTGCACCTATGCTCTGCTAACATATAAACAGTCATGCAGGTTATGGGATACTTGTAACAGCAGAGCATGGAAGACTAAGTGCCATCAAACATGTTCGGAACGTGTTGGTCAGTCTTCACAATGATGCGGATGTAGTTCTCTCACGGGCCTTTCAACCTACTTTCAGCCATCGCACACTATGTTTCTTTCATCCAGTTCAATAAGGCGATGAAAGTCCGCGCCCCTCAACCGCCACAGAGCACCGGTCCGACCACGGCCTTTAATCGTGGTGCAGCACCCCCTGTTCCGTCTTTCTCTAACCGGCCCACAGTACCGCCGCCTCCAGTTCCAACCAATTTTCCCCCTCCCCCCACTGTGCCACCACCACCGCCACCGGGGCGAGCAGCACCGCCGCCGCCACCTCCGGGACGAATGCCTCCGCCGCCGACACCGCCCCCGCCGCCTCCACCACCTCCGCCCTCTGCTGGAGGCGGTACTGGCAGGGCACCACCACCTCCACCCCCACCTCCGCCACCACCAGCGTCGGGTGGCCAGCCGCCTGTTCCTGCGCCGAGAGGTCATCCGCCTGGAGGTGGTTTGCCTACGACGACCGCTCCTATTGATCTGCAGTCAGAAATCCAAAACTTCAACAAAGGGCATCTTAAAAAGGTATATCTTTCTGAAGTCCAACTTGTGCGAAATCAGGCCTTTTCGTAGCACTTCTCATCGCGCTACCTGTTGTCGAGTTTGGTCCATCGACAAGGCAGGCGATTGGCCACTGAGACTGTACAGTTGCCGAATTCAAATTAGAGTAATACTTCCGCCAGTATTTCATATACGCCCACTTTTCCTACTTTGTGTTCAATCAAGACGCGCTGAGGCGCGCAGATGTGCATGTAACACCGATTCAGAAAAACTTACGAAGACCCATTTATTTAGTGAAATTATTATGTGAGGATTTACCACCGCCGCCACCACCACCGCCACCATTACCACCACCACCACTTTCCATTGATAATGTCACAAGCCGTTTCTTTGGGAAGCTCGGTCACGAAAATTCCAATGACGCGGCTACAAGTAGAAGTTATTCAGAGGTTATCCTTATCCGTCGTCTTCCAATCCAATACCTGCAATGTACAGGGCGCGTTTTTCCCCTATTATGTTGAACTTCTCGGGAAAACCGCCTGTGTTAGCAGCGCGTAATTTCACGGGATCCGGATTCTGCAGCGCAGAATACCGAGTACTTCTATCGTTACTGCCGTTGAGCACAACAGTGGCCAACGACCACTCAGCTAGGCAAATAACTTTGGAAAGGTATACTACTAGCTTTTCTACCTACCGTTTTCTCGAAACCAATGACTTCGATTATCTTATTGGCTGGTGACTGTCCAATCACAGATAAGTGCACAAGAAGCCGACTAATAGTGCTTGGTACGCACGCCCTGCGGCAACCATCCATCACCGAAAACCCGTCTTGTCCTTTATGATCTGAGAGGACTTAAACAAACGTATAAATCGTCCGGTCTGTTTCAGGTGGAAGATCACCCTGGACCTATAAGCCCGGTAAGCAGTGGAGACGGTCACAAGGACATGTTGGCTGCCAGTCTGAGTCAAGCTCTGAATAATCTCCTAGCTTCGCGACGGGCCTATCTCTCGGATGACTCCAGTGAAGACTCAGACTTTTAAAGGTGCCACTCGATCCGCACTGGTTTACACATCTCTCTCTCATCAGCACGCGCAACACCCGATCGTGGAGTTATCTTATCGCGCAATCCCTCTCTCTCCCTTCCACCTTCGCCCAACCACCTCACGGCCTTCCCTGTACCCTTCTCCTCCCCTGTTAAAGCCAGATATGTAATCTCTCCCCCCCCCCTCCCACCTACCTCCGCGAGAGTCGGATGAATGCGCTTCCCGCTGTGCCGTGCCTTAGAATCTAAGTGTTTTCTTGGCTGTGTTCTTGTTATCATTCGTATGACATTATGCCCCCCCCCCTATTTCTTTTTTGACTTACCTATTGGGTATCCACTTACCTCCATTTTTCAACTGTCAACCATGATGTATTTTTTAAGCTCGGTTCCCTTTTTGTTATTTTTGGGGTGGGGCGGGGGGGGGGTGGAATTCAACCCGTGCTGGAGAGCTCTGTACCCAGTTGTAGTCACAAAAATCTACTTTTTGACAACATTGTTGTATCGTTGTTCCCCGAATTATCCTTCGTTAGTTCGAGGTGTGACCTTGAGTGCGGACTACCCGGCCCGTTTACGGGTGGCGGACGGTGGCACGACCAGCAGCAAAATGCAGGGCTAATGCCACCAGACATGGTTGCACACCGATCTCGCAACGGCTTCACAAGCTACAAGGTCCCTACTTCGTAGTGGATTTTGACAGCCATACCGGCAGGTTTCTCAGTCCATCCGGTATGATCCTGAAACCCACTAATTGTTTGCTGGAGGAATATATAGAGATGTCAATCTCGGAATCCAGGAATTGCGGAGGACTGTCACTCTGTCAAACCGCCCCATGCGACCGCTATCCGGTAAGCTACGATGAAATCGAGTTTTTTGAAGACCTGAGTGCTGTGGTACGTACACCCCGGTTGTACTTTTCGAGGGTCAGTGGAATTAAGGGGGGCCATCTCCTGCCGATCAGCAACTGGTTGCTGTGCAATAGTCGTTTTGCCTCTACGCCCACCTCCGGTCGTCTCGACATTGTCTTTCGGTCGGATATCAACTTCAACACTGCGCCTCTAGCGTACTCCACTGGCGGTCTGGTTCTCAGCCAATCACAGCTGTCCAAACGGATCAGTAGAATTCAAGGCCTCCCCAGTTATGTCCTTGCCCAAGCCGCTCTGGCGCCTGCCCCGACGGCACTCGGACGCCTGTTGTGTCAGCATCGGACGTGTGCCGCCACTGCGCACACTGTCATCAGCGTTGGTTGTCTGGTTCGGACAGAATGCAAGTGCCTGGGGGAAGGAAGCGGTAGGCCGACGCCGCGGACTTGGTCCTCACTGCACATCAAAGCATTTTTTCTACCACAGTGGGTGCGACACACTTCTTTCTCAGTGAGGTAAAAATAATGGTTTCTAAGTTGACCAACTGATGGGATAACTCGGTCCGTCTCAGAACTTAGAATCGGACCGCGATGGCTCCTTTACGTTACTGGCACGCATTTGTGATTTGAACCGACGTCACAGCAGCCCCTTACAAGGAGTGGGAACAAGACTGTGACCGGGACGCGTAGGCGGGCCCTCTAGCCTGGTCGGCCACTGGGCCCGAGTCACCTCCGGTCGTCTTGACATTGGAGCAAAGTGAACGGAGAGGGATGAAGTGTGGTAGGTGTTGTGCAAGTCGATCCCACTATAAGCTCCGCCTACTCTGTAGTGCACACAGTGGCCATCGCCGTTCGCGACGATGGAGACATACCATTCCATATCTCTGACAGGATGATGTTTCGGTCACGTCAGATGGGGTACCGGGACATCTATCGTTTCAGCTAGTGGTGGGTTTATTCGGAGCTTCCGTCCTTCAGGTGTATTTGACTTATAAGTTGAGAAGATGGAGATTCAATCGCTTACAGAAGAATTATCATCCTCCTTTAGTGCCGGATTCACTCGAATCCAGGGTAAGGGACATATGAGTTACTACACCGCCACGCATCTATTCAAAATCAAAAGTTCTGACATTTATTTCAAATGACTGTACTTGGTGCGATGATTGCCTGCCTTCCCGTCTTTAGTGGCCGCATTTTCATTGCCATTGTGTTGGGTACTGAAGTGATAAAGGCTCGGCTATTGGGCCAACCAATATTCTCACTGCTAGGGTCGTTCACCCCTGAGTTTTCCGGTTGATTATGGAAGGTGGGGGGTTATTGCGCTTAACAGGCGGCTGTGGGCCGGAGAACTATGACTTGATCAACTCGCGGCCTAAACGGTTGTCTTAAGTGCAGTGACCATTTTCAGAGTGGCGCTTCCCGAATTTGAGACATCCTTTTAAAAATGACTGCGAAGGTTCTTTCAGTTTTTCATGGGGTTTTGGGGGGGGGGGAAGAAGGGAGTTCCCCACAGCCGATACAAGCCAAAATGCGGAATTCAGAAAGGGGTTGGAAGTAAGGGACGTAATCTTTAGAATACGAATTGCATTCATCCGGCCTTTCGCAATCATACCTGGACCCATCATCAAAACCGGCCACAAACGAATGTCAAGGAAGCCGTCAGTAGCTTTCTCCTGCGACTTGTGACTGGGGTTGGAACTCTCAAGCTTCAAGCAATGCGACCGAAAGAGTCGATGTCACGACAGGAAAGGTCGGGAGTCTTTCACTGGATCTAGTGAAGTTGCTTGCAGGGCAGCTACGTCGGACAAGATCGGAGTTCAGCCTGGACGCGAATGGCTGAACATGCAGCAGCAATGAGGGGGAGTGGCGCCAGCCCTCAGGTCGCGACTCATTCAACAAGATCCTGCTACGCCTTCAGGTTAGATGAGGCGGGCATTCTTCTGAGAAACAGCAACTGAATGTGGCCTGAGTTGCTTGCATCATGGTTGTCCGGCTCGCAGTCGATTAATAAGCCTAGTGACTTACACGCTCCATGTTCGTCGCTGTGATTTCGTCTTGTCAGAGTAGTTAGCCACACGTTATGCGCGCGCGGGCAAGCACCGCTTCCATTTACACCATCGGACGGCTAACCTGTCGGGCGCGAGCGAGCCAGCAATCAGCACACCAACTGCGGCCATCAGCGATGAATGCAAGAGCTCCTAGACAGATATGATGTTCATTTTAGCCCAACTGTGAAAAACTCGGTGCCTGGGGGGATTGGAGCCCACGACAGCAAGGGGAGGCTTTAGTACAGCCAACGCTCTAACCTTCTAAGCTACGAGACCCTGCCGGACGACGCAAGTTTAATCACATTTGATGTTGCATGGCCACTGTTTTGCACAAATACTGCACATTCTGTAGGTCCATCGACGTCGTGTTAGGATGCTGAGATTGATTGAGGATCGTTAACACTGAGCAAATGAAATTATTATTTCAACGATAGCTTCTACTCTGTGTAAGTAGTGGTAGCACGTTTCCGCAGAGTCCGAGAAACTTTGATAAATCAACTCCGACCTCCTGGTTGTGGATTTTATCAGGCTGCTTATGCATTCGCGTATTAACGGACCAGCTACCGGGAGGGGGGCATTAAAAGTGACCGCGTTTGTGGATGCCAGCAAATTTTGCGCACAGACCATCTCCGACGCCTTCGTTTTGCGTCTACTATTCAGGCGTATTTTCAAACAGCAATCAATAAGATGCCTTCTGTCGTTTGGGTTGACTTAAGAACCGGATAAAAAGCACGTCCCATGACGCTGCAAACGACGCAGAATAAAACAATCCTTTTTTAGATGAAAACTGCGTGCATATATAGCATGCTCATCTGCGTCTGCGAGTCTCTTTACCCCCCGCCACACCCCAGCCATATTTAGATGATTTTTCAAACCCGCCGGGTCACCTCCTATAGGATATGCCTACACCAAACGCGTCTTTCTTTCGTACCTAAATTTCTCAACCGCACCCTGACGGCAGGTCGATGGGGCGACTGATTGGTATTCTAACCTGCACCGCATGTGTGCATGCGCGCGATTCAGTTCAACTGCACTTGGAATTCAAGTGAGTGCGGGTCCTTTCACCTTTGCGAGGACTCGTAATACCGTCTTTCCTTTTTAGCTTTACCGGCTTCATATGCCCACCGACTGCCTACGCTTAAGGGTAGGTCTTCACTTACCAACTCCGGTCCCACCGTTTGTCGTTACGCCAAAGCTAAAGAAAAAGAAGGGTTTGTTTATTTTCGAGTCCATATTAAAGTGCTGAATTTCCATGTCTCCTTGGTTCAAGGAATGGGTCAAGCTTCCTGTAGGAATGATACGATGTACAACAACTTTAGCGATTGTTTCGTAATCAGGAAGCAGTAAGCCATTGATGGATCTTCTGGATAAATGGCGTCTGCTATGCCGGGATCAGTAAACCATGGCGTACGCAGCCTGGTTTGTGCTGGCAGTTCTCTAACGCCTAGTTCCTTGTTGGTAGGTGCGCCTACGCTCCCGCTGGGCATTGCTGTCCAGTCACCTTTGTCTCTGCAGCTGTCTTTGTTGTTGATGTTGATAATGATGACGATGTAATTTGTTGAAATCCTGGTCATTTGTTGTGTGGACCATGGGATGTGGCGGTACGTCCGGATGCGGTCTTAGACGTGCTGTCCTCCGCCCCCCCCCGGTCTTATTGACTCTGTTTTGATGCTAGGTCCAGTTGGTGTGTGAGATGAGAGAGTGCGATAGATGCGGTGCAAGTCTACTGCCAATATAAACTAACTCACGAACAAGTCACCGTGCCTGCTCTCACCTTGCCGTGTAGTACATGGTGGACATCGTCGGCAACGACGGTCGAACTGTCGGATAGCTGGTAACATCGCCCATTACACTCTTTTTGAATTTCATGACAGCATGGTAAATACAGAGTCCAGAGTAAGCTCTTAACTGCGGGGAATCGCAACGAGATTACTATTTACCAAGTGAATAATAGAATTTATATTCAATTTCAAGCTCGGTTTAGTGCGCTTCAAAGGAAAGTGGGTTATCTTAAATTTAAACCGTGAATCCTCTGGATTTATAGACCTTGGGAACGTAACAGCCATCCTGCCGTTGATTATGTCCTTCCTT